TGCAAGCAGAACTCCAATGTGGCAAATCGTGGGGCCTAGACGAGCCCAAGATCTCGACACCATAGTCCTACAAGATAGACAGACGAGAAATGATCGTTCTACTCTTAGACGAGTCTTATGCTAAAGAGCTCGTCTAGAGTAAGGGGGGCTAGATGATGTAGCACCAAAAAATAACTCGGTTGACCGCCCTGAGCGGTTAGCTCGGATAAGGCTGGTCCAAGGAATCTTAGAACCCAATTTATGCGATATGTTGTATTAGTTAATTGTCCATGAAGATTTAGGAAATATTCCCAAAAGATATTCATGAAAGTTAGTATATATCTACACAAATGTTATAGGGGATCAGAATCCTTGGTTATTTAGGAAACTCGTTATCTTGGGAGTAAGTGATTAAACCCTTTTTATAACCAAGGGATCCAGGTTTTATTATAAATCTCAATCTCTCATCTATCTATTGATTGCACTCAAAATAATATATCTATTTTTTGACTTGATCAGTGTCAAAGTGTCTATGTCGGGGCTCCGCCCTCACGCATTGCAGTTCGATCCATTTTACGAAGGCAAGGCGATCGGACGAGACGGCTCGGCCGACAATCTCAGTGAGTTGATTATTTTGGCTTATCAGGCGTCATAGAGTTTATTGTATAATCAATAATTAATTTTATTTTTTAAAATTATTATATTTATTATTTTGTAAATACATATAAAAGTAAGAAATAATTACTCTTGCATTAATTTTATAATGAAGAATCTTAATATTTTTAATTATAATTTTTTATATGCTTAATAAATTACTTTCCATTAAAAAACATAATTAAGAGAAAAATGGATTAGTTGTTTGCTATTTCTAGTTTCTGTATGTATTTGTGTTAGTGTTTCTTTGGTGGCCATTCTCTTCGTTGGAGCTCGTATCCTATGGTAGTATTGTAATATTGTGGGCTGTGACTTGTGAATGAGTCAGTGTAGTTGGATCTAGACTACCTTTCTATAGTACTCTCACTAAATTCAACTGTATTTTTATTGTTTAGTTGTTTTTTTTTTTCGAAACGATAGATTCATTAACTAAAATAGTCGGAAAAGAAAAATAAAAAACTCCCCACAAGAGAATACATAAACTCCCCAAAAGAGAATAATACAAACTCCCCACAGGAGAATAACACGCTCCTCCAAAAGAGGAGAAAACAAAACATAGAACACAATAACAAAATACCCACAAAACACAAACATAACCTAAAACATAAACTAAATAAACTAAGGCCCTTCTCACAGCCGAGAAGAAACGCCAAACAACCACAACAACAACACTATAGGTCGATCACCCAAAACTGCAACTTGCGCGCCTAACTGGAACTAAATCCTAGATCTTGCCCCAAGCCCCAGAACCCGAAACTGCAACTTGCGCGCCTAACTGGAACTAAATCCTAGAGCTAAACCCCGCAAGTAACTGACCCCACCCCCAGCCGGAGGAAACCGAGCCACAACACCACCACCCCAAGCCCAGCCCACACCACGGATCTGAGCTCGACACGCCGGTCGTCCCCTCGACCACGCACCAGCGGCAAACGGGAACCAAGGGGAAGAGCTTACTCTCCTCTCCCCGACCGACCACAACAATCCAGCTGTCGAGGCCACAACCCATCCCCCCAGAAGCACCGGCGCCCGCCACAGCCTCTCCACCCGGGCGATTGACGACCACCACCCAGAAAGGCGCCAAGGAGAACCGGTGAAGACCTCCCGCAGCTCGTCGCCAACCCCACTAACTCAAGAGAGCAAAATATCGGCACCACAGGGAGTAGGTCGCGCAACCATTAGTTGGCCGCCGTCAAGGAGACCGACGACCGGCTGGAGAAGGCGTTAATTGCAAAGAAAGAGACCGGGTTTTACTGTAGATGAGATTTGGGTTTT